CCCAGGGCGTCTAGAAGCGTGTCCTTGGCCACAAACCGTTCTGGCAGTCGCCGTCCGAAGTCGTACTGTACGACACCATCGCTGATAATGACGTCGCCGAGCACGGTCTCGGCTATGTCGCTGCTGCCGGAACGAAAGGGAACGACACCGCAAACGCCAACGATGAGGGCAAGCCTGATGTTGGGGAAGCTTGCGCGGCAGTGGGCGGCGACGGCCGCGGCGCTGGCCTTGCCCATGCCTGGCATGTGTGCGAGGACGACATTGTGGCGGCCGATGGCGCCGGTGGAGTACGCGTTGGGGTCGCCCGCGGCTTTGTCGTAGAGCGGCCCGTCATCGTCCCAGTGGTGGTCGAAGAGGGCGTCGACGGCATCGGCTTCAATCGGGAGAGCGCAGATAATAGCGATCTCAAAGTCGCGACGTGTGGCCGGGCGCCGCGGCCGTTGCTCCGTAATCGGATGAGAGATTAGAGTATTGGTGCATGTTGGGCTTGCCACGTTGGGTTGGTCGGGATCGCTTCGGTCAACTGGCGTTGCTTTAGCTCGTGTCAGGGATGACTTGAATCGCTTCTTACATGTTTCGTTAAATTCCACCGGTTTATTCCGCGGTGCTTCGGTCATGGTAGCATTGCTCCCAGATGCACCCGGACTATGTTTCTCCAACGCACTCATGTTCTTAACCCATCGTCGAAGCTCTCCGCAAACTGCCTGAAAACCAGGGTCGTCCACGCCAGCGAATTTGGTCATGTCCATATGGTTGCCGTGGATCCCGATCGGGATGTACCCAGGCAGAATCGCCGAATCCTGTGGCACAACCTGTCGAGCCCCGTCAGTAAAACGCACGGCTACGGAATCGCACCACCACACTCACCTGGCCGATACCTGGCAAAGGCAGCTCCTCGAAGAAGCAGCTGATCTCGATCGGCTGGCCCTCCCTGCCACGGGCTAGGACCATGGTGTGGAAACCGTCCTGGATCCGTGCGAGCACCTCCGAGTCGCGCTTAAGCACCTCAACGATTTGTGTGTTGGTCTGCTTGATGATCCCAATGGATCGCGACAGCAGCTCGGCCCATCGTGCCAGCCCTGACCCGTGGTGTGGCGTCCCGAGAAGGGCGATGCCGCGCGTCAGCCGCAGGACGTTGTGGAGGTGCGGTTCCGTTCGCTGTCTCGATGTGCACAATGCCTAGCGAGAGAATTAGCTATCGCTGTGGCCCAGACCCGGAGAAGACGTACATCCTCGCATACCAGCCCCCCCAGGCTGTGACAGACAAATATGATCGGCCGTTCATTCTACTGGCGTTAGCTTCGTAGCCAATCGGCGCGGCCACCCACACCCACCGTATCGTCCTTCTCTCGATACGACGCGAGAGACGTCAAAAGCTTCCACGCGTGGTTGGCAATTCGACTCTGCGACACCATGCCCCGCCAATCCGTCACGTATGCATCGTATCCGAATGTGAGGACGCGCGCGGTCGGGAGTTCGGACGGGAGGAGGGCCTTGGGCCATGGCTCAGGCGCGTCGCTGGCGGTCCATGTCTTCTCGCGGTCGCCTGTCAGGCCGTGGACAAAGACAATGCTGGGTGGAGATCATCAGCTAGGCGTCATAGGCGAGCAAAGATGTACGCACTCGGCGATGGCACCTGCCGGGCTGCAGAGCGGCTTGATGCCCGAGGGGAAAGTCTTCGTCGGAGACGGGGCCGCGGCGGGTGGTCGCTCTGACTGGCTTTCTTGACCCGCCGATTCAGTTATCGCGGCTTTCGACCGCCAGCCTAAGAATCGTCGCATTCTGCCGCGGAAAGGGACGTGCGGCTCGGTCCGTCAGATCGTGATCCACTGCTCTGGTGGGGTT